ACAAAATATGTTACCTAATGCTGGCATCATTTTTTCTTATTTACTTGTTATTAATTTCATTTTATATGCGAGACAAAGACATGTTCATTATACATAAACAACTAAAATTCTTTAAAACCTTTCAGGAAAGCTATTTTGGTCATACAGCCTGAAAAATGTAAAACAGCACATGACAAGAGTAAACTGAGATAAAAACAAACATGCTTCTCATCCCAAACATGAAACGTCAACAGCTGCCAGGACGCAGTGACACACTCATGTAGCTGCCCTGACTGAAGTTGCGGGACTTACTCATCGCCATCTGGGCAGATGCCTGTGGTCTCGTCGTACTTGGTGCAGTAAACGTCGGGGCTGTAGTTGAAAGTCCCGTCCCTTCTTCGTATGGGTCGCCTTCGTCGCTGGTTGAGAAAATGCCAGTGAAAGCACGTAAAGGGTCTGTGCTGCGTACACTTGTGCTGGAGGAACAACGGGCACTGCTCTGTCCTGAACTCCTTCAAGTATCTGAAACAAGCAGGGCAAACACAAAGCGGGATTTAAACGGCTATCCGCTAGCAAGTAAGAGCTTAGCCAAGGGAAAAGTTTAGCAGGGAGTCGTGTTGTAGCCTACTATACATTTTGGGTCAGTAGAGTTAGCTTGCTATGCTGAGTGAAGACTACGTATGTTTTTCGTCGTAAAGCTCGTACAGAGCACCTGAGCGTACGTCTATAAATGTGCGTAGCAAGAGGGAACTCAAAATAAGGCCGAGCTATTTACAAGCGGACTGGTTAGCGAGTTCCTGGCTAATCATTTAGCGAACCAAGTTGACGGTGTAATATCAACCAGACCCATCAAAACCCTTTCATCAACAGCACAAAACACTTCAAAACGATTCCGCTAACGGTTGGCTAACCAGTTTGGTGATTTAAGATCCTAGAGTTTCCTGTATTGACGCAGATGTCTTTAGCGTACAGTCGCTGTCTGCTATGTAACGTTAGGTAGTCACAAAGCCAGGAAAAGCACCATGTTTTTAACGCACGCACAGGAGTTGAGGAATGCTGAAAATGCACGCGAGCAAGGGTGCGCGTTCAAACGAGCATTTTCAGCAGCGAACGATTTTGTTGTTTCTTTGCAGCAGCTTTACTCACGTATAGTGGGTAGGTTTCTCGGTTTGAGGAGACGCATTGGCCGCCGTTTTCGAAACCGACGGCATTTTCAGTCAAAACAATGAATTGCGCATGCGCTCGGATCTGTTGCTCCAGTGAATGCATGTTCGCCTGCACGCCAGCGCACTGCAAACACCAAACGCGGCCGCACGGGGGCAGTATGGGGGCACTGTAATCATGGAACGATGACTCACTTCACACACTGTTTATATCTTATTCACATGCCTTTGTTACGCCTCATACCAATATACCCGTATTTGTTTGTATTGTACTTAGATTTTTATTCGTTTAGATGTTTCATGATATTTCAGTCATTCTTTTTTGTAGTTTTTACCTATGGATATGGCGTTCTTTCTTTTTCTTTTGTATTTATTTATTTTTAATAGTCTGAACAGCTGTTTTGCTATAGATTGTGTTTAATATTTGGCTTAAACACAAAAGTAATTCATCAACTTTTGAGTTAAATAATTTCTCTGCCTTTATTTACCTTTATCTGTCTGTTTGTTTTTAAATACTTGCAATCGTTAAGCTTGTCGTGTTAAACCTGTAAAACACTCAATGTTACTTGAAAAAAGTGACTTTGTTTAGTCAAATGCCCCTTACTGCTTGTGAGTAGTATAAATAAATGGTCTCTCATCCAATTAAACCTTTTAAAGGATTATCAAGCCATCACTGAGCAACAAGTGGAGTTTAAAGCTCCAGTCAGAGAGGGCCAGAAAACCAAACTTCATCTTAGAATCAGTTGTTTTTCATGTTATGTGCTGAGTGTTCATTAAATCTAACCGATTTCAGGCCAACTTTCTGTTATGTCACAGGATTTAAAAAATATGGTTGAATGATAAATTATCTGGAATGACAGATAAAAATCAATATGATGTAGTTTGTAGTAAGTAAGCTTTGATGTAGTAAGTTATGTTATGAGATGGTGATATATCAGATTGTTTTTTCTGTTTCTTTATTGTCTTTATTATTGTTTATAGTTGTTTTGCTTTTTGCATCTTTCTCAGCTTACCAGAATTCCACATTAAATTGACATCAAGTAGTTTCAAGGGTCTTCACTTCTGTATCTGGGAATATAATCTGCACTGCTCAAGTTCTTTTTCCCTGGGATTTTAATGTACAAATGCAATTATACAGCTCATCCATTATTCAGCTGCTCAGGTGCACCGAGTGCACTGCCTTATATTTATGCATAAGCTCCAGAGCATCCCGTTGTAATTACATTGACATGCCCCACCTATGCTAAGCTTACAGTTAGACAATGTTGGGAATGTTTGTTATGTAAAAATAACATTTAAGGAGCAGAATCATATTTTTCAA